TTACTACAAAATAACCGTAACAATATTTATCGATTTTTATCAATTAATTTAAACATAGATGCTGATTTACCAAATAATTTATTTAATTTTTGTTGTTAACTTAAATACTCACGAAAATGATTTTTCACAAAATTTGCATTGATAAAGTTTTTCCCCTATATGAGTCCCTTCATGATAACGCATAATACTTTCACGCTTAAATGTTTTATCACACGTTCCGCATTTGTATGGTTTATCTTCAGCATGTATCTTTTTATTATGTCGTGTAAAAGCTGTCGAAGTGATAAATTGTCCATCTTTAAAATTAAGAAAAATTTTTATTATAAAATAAAAATAGTAACATAAAACGGACTGTTGAAATAATATAAAGTTATCAAAACACTATAACTATCAGTCATGAGCTACATAAATCTTACCGCAATAATAGCATACATATTTTTTTGTGCCATTATCCATTATCTTCGACTATCGATTCAAAATTTGAGACTGATGGATGTTCCTTTTTTTTCAAATTGGAAACTCTGCAGACGTATTCCTCGGTTAATTTTATTGTAACGTCCTCTAAATTTTTTTCGTAATTCCCACAGTCTCAATTTTATTGATCGTGTACATTTTTAATATTATCTACCTAAAACCGTAAGAAAATGTTATTCCTTAAAAACATAAACTTTTATCGAAGAAATTTTATTACGGAAGTTTGCGGTAACATATAATTGCATATAATTACTTTTTTCATTAAACAACTTAAAACACTTGAAAATGACGGATGAATACATTATTATCACAATGTATAAAACAGTCGATGTAATGACGATTTAGATATAGGATTATCAAAGTGTATTGATTTTAGTGGATATCGAATACACTTTAACAATAAGGACTGTAATAAAATCTTTGTCGAAGTCAGCTATCATTTTTTAACGCATTTTACTACTAAATTAATATTTTATCGTTAGTGATACTCGATATGAAATTTTAAATGTATATATTCTACATATAAAAGTTTCTTTATTTTTCTTCTAATTTACATAAATAAAATATTAAATATAATGTTAGATTGAAAACATGAAACGTTAAAACAGTTAAACGTAATTCAAACGAACATTGAGTAGAAATACGAACATATAAATGAAAAACCGTCATCAAGATTGGAAGCAACTTCTTGTATAAATAAGTATTAAGTATGAAAGGAGAATAAACCGTTCAATAGTATAAAATGATATTTTGAATTGTATTAAGTAAAAATTAAGATATTTAATATGCAATAGTTATAATCTATTTGAGTAATAATCTATTTTTTTTATGATAATGGACAAAGGTTACAGGCAATAAAGTTATTGCAGTCACGAAAATTAAATAAAAATAAACAAACAATTCGTCAAAGGTAGACTAAGTTTTAAAAGAGGAATTTATAAAATTAAGAATGAGGATTAGATTGAAAAATGACGTTAGATTTAAAAACTGAAATTTTGATGATATAACTTACAATGTATTACGGTTTTGATGTAGTGATTATTTCAGTTAAATTGTTTGCTGACAATTACCACGTCAAAATCTTGGAAACAACTGTGACAAAACGAACATACATGTGTATATATACAAATTTTTATATATACACAGGGTTGTCAACATTACCTCGTAAAAGTAACCCGTTATCGTCACTCAAACAAAATGTAACAATTTGTCACTTTTTTATTACATTTTTCTTAAAATTAATGAAATATTTTACAGCGTTACTCATTGGTAGTGCATATTGCAACCCTTATACACTACTTTAATCAGCACCACAAATGGCTTTCACTTGGTGATTGGTTGATAGTGGCTACCAATCAAAAAACTGAAAATATTTAAATCCGTAAACTAAAAATGCAATATTTAAAATATTTATTATTAAAAAATTATTACACAAGCAAAAATGTGAAAGATATGAGGTTTAATCAAGTTTCTGTTATATTTTCATTTAAAGAAGATACCAGAAAATTGTTATTTTAACTAATTCGAATATATAACTTCATCAAAAAATATATAAAATTGCTACAATTACAAGCATAATATACATTTTTTTAAAAATATTATTGTTGTATTATTTCTCTAAAAAGTAGAATGTGCAAAAAACTATATTTTAAATTATCAGCCTTTACTTTTTAAAAATAAAATCTAAGTACATATTTTTTTATTTGAATATAAAAGTCTTCCTATTCCTATTCAAATAATATATATTTTTCTATTCGTAATATCAGTAAAATTGTAATTAAATAAAATTTAATTACAAAGAATTAAAAGAGTAAGAATATAAACTTAAGAAATTTATTTTAATAAAAAAAATTTTATAGTAAGAAGACTTAGTGGTGCTACAAGATTAACAATACAATGTATGTACATAATATCACGACAAAATTTCTCTTTTACGAAAAGGTACAAAAAGCGCAATTGTACACGTTTGTATGTGTGCTCCTTAAAAAAAATAATTGTACAGGGCGAGTGAGGTATCTAAGGACATATTGACTTTAAAACTAAAATTTATATATTTCTTAGAAAACTTATTGTATTTTAATGGAATTTTTACAGCAAACTAAGTGACTAGTAGGCTATACAGTTAATGGATAAAATCGCCTTCAGCGGCAATAATAGCTTCAATTCTCTACCGGAAACGTTTGCATGCTCGAATCAAATGATCCTCGTCCATATACGTCATTACTCTGGTAATAGCTGCTCTTAGGGAATCAAGCGTGTTATGGGGATGTTTATTGGTCTCCCGTTTAACAACGCCCCATACGTAGTAATCCAAAGGATTAAGATCCGGGGAGCTAGGTGACCACATGTTTGGAGTTATGTGATCATGCAGATTCTCGGACATCCAATCTTGCATCGTCATAGCTTTATGTGAAGAAGCAGAGTCCTGGAATACGTATAGCCTCTCACCATGCATGCTATCTATCCAGGGTTTCACAACAGCTTCCAAAACTTCAATGTAGGCAGCAGCATTCATCCGAAGTCCTTGAGGAAAGAAGTGGGATGGCATGACGTGTCCTTCATTGCTCACCACTCCCAAAACCATAACAGTTGCCGGAAACTTTGTGTGCATAACATGAAGAACATCTGAAGGATCCGCACATAGTTACCTATCATTTTGTCGGTTTATTTTTTGATCCTGGTCAAAATTTTTTTCGTCAGAATAAAACCAGAGCATATCCGGGATTTCAGGATGTTTTAACTTGTTTAAAAGTCATTGTGCCCGGATGAATCGCTGTTCTCGAGTTTGTGCCGACATAAACTGACTTTTGCGCATCACGTAGGACTTGTACCGGATGTCTTCGTGGACAATGCGACGGATTGTGCACTCAGAAACTTGAAGGTCTCTCGATATGGCCCTTATGGACTTTGAAGGGTCTTCATCAGTAATGCCTTGGACTTGCTGCACAAAGTGTGATATTCTAATTCTGTCTCAACGTGCCTTATGTTTTTTGCGCTTAGCAACACTTTCTACATTGTCATCAGATGCTTTTAAATCTCGACGAACTTTGTGAACAAACGATCGGGAGAATTTCAAAAATTTGATTTCAAGATCGCTGTGATTCGTATGTATAGCGACGATAACAGTGTGTTTTTTCATTTTATTAGTCAACTTATTGTCTTTCATTTATGATCTGAAAAGAAAAAAAATAAAAAACTTGTTGCGAGAACTTGACAAGCACATATGTGAGTGTCCTCAGATACCTGACTCACCCTGTATATTTTTAATTTATTTCAAATCAATTTTCCAAACCACCATAGTAATAATAATTTAAAAAATATGAAATATTTTAATTTCTCCAATTATAAACAAAAGAATAGAAGAAACGTTTCATTGAAACGCTAATGTTCTATAGTTACCTTTAAGTAATAAAACTCGTGGTCCTACTTTTTCTTCTGAAACATCAAATCATTTTTTATTTCTTTTAGCTAATAAAACCAAAATAATTATATTTTTTAATTAAATAAAAATAAAATCCAAATGCCGACATCTTTATACTTATTCCAAACTATCAAAGTAATAATATAACCTAAGTATGTATATTTATATTAAAAAATAATGGCAAATCATACACATGTGTAATCTTTTAATTCAAATAGATAATATGCATTCACTATTCTAAAAAAATATATGAACATGAGTGTACTCAATTGAAATAAACCATTTTTAGTCGAAAAGAATTAGATCAATTCTTTTTTAATTGATATTATAGCTAAATCGCATAGCGCATCATCGTCACAATAGATATCAGAATCTTTTTTATTTTTAATTTTAAATAAGATGCTTTTAGAGTTGTCACAGACATTAGCACAATTAATAAAATTTTTTTGTTATTGCTACATTTGAAAAGATTTTTGGAAAATTACTTTTAACTTAATTCGATTTAATAATAAAATATTTTTTAATAGATTTAATAATTAAATATTAAAGTATAATTTTATATTTACAATAGTAGCGCTGTCTATCAAAATTTTGCGCTTTTTCAAATTTAAAACGCACCTTTGTGTTTCGTTACGCCTCCGGTTTTATATAATTGACCTACAACTACATAAATTATAATACATAAGAAAATAATTTTTAAACAATATGATTGGAAACGAGACCGTTTATATTAAAACTTGAAATACTAAGCGCCTCACCGGTCCGAGTGTTAAGATGTTGAACTACTATATAATATACATTCATTTAAATTGAATTAATATTCCAGAAATAAATTGTGAGCCGATGAAATTATCGGATTCACACAATCAATCTGAAACAAATAATCCCCCCAAAATTTCCCAAATCTTAAAAAACTATAATAAACTTAGATTTGGGAAATTTTGGGGGGATTATTTGTTTCAGATTTTGTGTGTTAATCCGATAATTTCATCGGCTCGCAATTTATTTCTGGAATATTAATTCAATTTAAATGAATGTATATTATATAGTAGTTCAACATCTTAACACTCGGACCGGTAAGGGGCTTCATATTTCAAGTTTTAAAATAGGTTTTGTTTTTACAACAAAGAATTTACGGTTTTAAAGCAGAAAATGGTGCATGTAGACAATCTAGATGTAGGCAAGAATTTTTACGCGCAAACGAATTGTAACAAATGTAATGTTAGCAAACGATATTGTAGGCAATCAATTTGTTTAACAAAAGAAGTTTTACTTCTTCGAAATAGTATGTCTATACCCTTGCGAAAATACGGAACTTTATAAAACGTTTACAATCGTTTAATGACAATTTTTTAAAAGTTTACCTTTCCGAACTTTATAAGAACGCTTATAAAATATCATTGGGTTTTAAATACTATTAAAATATAAAATACAGTACCGTTTCATGAAAGTTCCGTAATGCTAAAGCAAAACTTTTTAAAGGACACTGATGCACTTTTGTGCAGAGAGTTCACTGTCAGACTTTTCAAACATTTAGCAAACGCTTTTTTCAATATCGTAACACCAGCATTTATCTTAAGTTCAACAAACTCTGTTACAATGTGGAGAATTATTGAATCTCAGTAAACGTTTTGTAAGGCTTTTACGCAAATGACTCTTAAAAACGCCCAAAAAACGTTTTCCTCAATCCCATAACACAAGTGTTTTGCCTCTGTTTAGCATTCTTCTACATATTCAACTTTCAAGAGGTGCAAATTGTCACTAAAGGGACACAATAAAATTCAATTTTATTTAAAAAATCACAAATAGGATAAAAGGCGCGGTATAATAAAACTTCTCAATGAACAATTTTGTATCTTTTTTTTGATAAAATGTCTGCGTCCAGCAGGCTCAACATTTGAACTGAAGGTTTATATAATCGTCAAACAAACATTCATGAAACTTATTATTTTCGTCAGAGTATGCTTTCTAAACGCTGCAGCTTTGCAATTTCCGTTTTACGAACACTCCAATGGCCATTCCTAAATTATTAACGAATACCTGCAAACGCTCATGTAAATGTTAAATATACATTTGTAAAACTTCTCATTTTCAATCGAGTATGTATTTATATGAAGAAGTTTTTATGTAGGATTTTATCATAAAAATATCATGGCAATAATTTAATTATTGAAATAAAATCAATTACTAATGTTCTATAATATCAATTGCTTTAATATAATTAATATATTTCGATTTAGAATAGTAAATACTAGTAACACATATAAAAGAAATAGTCAGCACATACATCGAATATTAAAATTAGACTGTATTCTGAAGATACAGTCGAGTAAATTAACATTATAATTAATTCTTTGCTACGATTGGTCAAAGTTCATTTTTACGATCACACGCCATAAATAATATTTTATTCTTGTCCATCGCATATTAAACAAACATAATAATGCTTATTATGTAAAGAATAACAAGGAACATACCTATTAGATAATATATTAACAATAACAATATCAGAAATTAAGTCTCCTCGATCGTTTGATGTTGCAACTTAATTTCTACTTTCGTTAGAGACAGAAAACTATTGAAATCGTCTGTTCAGAGTCAGTATAAATTAAAAAATTAACATTAATAAACGTAGCCTAACGTAGTTTCTTATGCTCCCTTTGATTCACATGAAGCATTGACAAATGTTTATAAAAATTGAATTAATTTCACGATTCTTTTCCAAACTAAATAATAAAAAGGTACGGGAAAAAACATTTTATATATAATTATATATAGAGATATATTCTTATACAAGTATATATGAAATATATATGTATTCATTAGAATTATATAAAATTATATGTATTTTTATAATTTTATATAATTATACATAAAACATTTTTTCCTGGAATTGTGTGGGTTTTACAATATCGCTTTCAAATTCTTTACTCATTTACTCGATTCTTATTAATATGTCATCGCTAAGGCCCAACAAAAAGAAACGCCACATTTTTTTTAACTTTGTAGGCGGCATATATAAAAACTACAATTTTCTCAATTGCTTACACTTTAGTACTGAAACCTCAACCTCATTGCAATTGCACAAGTGTAACTTGTGCATTTTAGTAATATACGCCTTTTAGTAATATACGATATAGCATCAATTTCAAAAATTTTGTTTCTGTTCGCGAGTGTACTATTTTAAACTCAAATATGACGTAAAATGATAATAAGTATTAAGCTGTGAGTAGTTACTGTACGATTTTGCTTTTAGAATACATTATCAACTTTATACGATGTTCCTGTGTCTGACAGTGCTTAATTGTACCTTCGAGAAAAATTGTATCTTCTAAAAGATTTCCATATACAATACATATAAAATCTCATACAAAAACATATTTATTCTTTACTTCATTCATCAGTTCGTCACTATTATTATTCGTCATTATCATTATTTGTCATTATTAATAGTAGTCATAATTGTTCTTTGTCTCCTTCGTTGTTGCAATTTTCATACAGGTCATGACCAGGTAGTGACCCTAAAAAATAAATAATTTTTTATTTATCACATATGATGTAAAATATTACATTAATCTATTATAATATAATTATTAATATATAACAATATAAAACAAATGTGAGTCTGAAAATAAATTAAAACGTTATAACATATAATAAATGACCTTAGTTCGAATGTATTGAATAAGAGATCTTTTACTGTTGTAGGTCTTGCTACACATTTTACAAGCATACAGCCTTTTATCGCTTTGTATAACGATTTGATGAGGTTCCTGGCTGTTCCCTTGTATGAGTCATTTCATGAATACGCATACTACTTTCATTCTTAAATGTTTTACCACATATTCCGCTTTTGTATGGTTTATCTTCAGTATGTACTTCTTTATTATGTCGTGTAAAAGCTCTCGAGGTGGTAAATTGTTCACCTTTAAAATTAAGAAAAATTTTTGTTATAAAATAAATTATTATAAAATAAAAATGGTAACACAAAACGGACTGTTGAAATAACACAAAGTTATTAAAACACTAAAAATATCAGTCATGAGCTACTTAAATCTTACCGCAATGATAGCATACATATATTTTTGTGTTATCCATTATCTTCAATTATCGATTCAAATGTTGCGAAACTTGAGATTGATAGATATTCCTTCTTTTTTTTTCAAATTGAATTTTTAATGCGCTCTGCAGGCGCATTCCTCGGTTAATTTTATTGTAACGTTCTTTAAATTCTTTTCGTAATTCCTACAGTCTCAATTTTGTTGATCGTGTATATTTTTAAGATTATCTACCTAAAACCGTAAGAAAATGTAATTCCTTAAAAACATAAACTTTTTTTTATCGAACAAATTTTGTAACGGAAGATTGCGGTTAACATATAAGTACTTTTGTCATTAAACAACTTAAAACACTTGAAAATGACGGATGAATACATTGTTATCACAATGTATAAAACAGCCGATGTAATTACGATTTAGATATAGGATTATCAAAGTGTATTGGTTTTAATGAATATCGAATACACTTTAACAATAAGAACTGTGATAAAATCTTTGTCGAAGTCTAGCTACCATTTTTTAACGCATTTTACTACTAAATTAATATATTATCGTTAATAATACTCGATATGAAATTTTAAGTATATATTCTACATATAAACATTTCTTTATTTTTCTTTTAATTTACATAAATAAAATACTAAGTATAATGTTATATTAAAAACATGAGACGTTAAAATAATGAAACATAATTCAAACAAACATTGAATAGGAATAGAAATATATAAATAAGAAACCGCCATCAAGGTTGAAAGCAACATCTTGTATAAATAAGTATTAAGTATGAAAAAAGATTTAGAATAAACCGCACAATGGTATAAAATCATATTCTGAAATCTGTTAAGTAAAAATTAAAATATTTAATATGCAATGGGCAATAGTTATAATCTATTTGATAATAGACAAGGGTTACAGGAAGTAAAGTTATAATAAAATTATTGCATTCTCGAAAAATAAAAAAAAAATAAAACATTATGTCAAAGATAGACTAAGTTTTAAAAGAGAAATTTATAAAATTAAGAATAACGATTAGATTGAAAAATGACGTTAGATTTAAAAACTGAAATTTTGATGATATAATAACTTACATACAATGTGTTATGGCTTTGATATAGCGATTATTTCAGTTAAATTGTTTGCTGACAATTAACCACGTCAAAATCTTGGAAACAACTGTGACAAAACGAACATACATGTGTATATATACAAATTTTTATATATACACAGGGTTGTCAACATTACCTCGTAAAAGTAACTCGTTATCGTCACTCAAACAAAATGTAATAATTTGTCACTTTTTTATTATCTTTTTTCTTAAAATTAATAAAATATTTTACAGTGTTACTCATTCGCAGTACACACTGCATATTGCAACCCTTATACACTACTCTAATCAGCACAGCAAAGGGGTTTCACTTACTGATTGATTGACAGTGGCTACCAATCAAAAAACCGAAAATATTAAGATCCGTAAACTAAAAATGGAATGTTTAGAATATTTATTATTAAAAAATTATTACACATACAAGCAAAAATTTGGAAGATATGAGGTTTAATCAAGTTTCTGTTATATTTTCATTTAAAAAAATAAGGATATCAGAAAATTGTATTATTTTAACTTCGAATATATAATTTTATCAAAAAATATATAAAATTGCTACAATTACAAGCATAATATACATTTTTTTCAATCATTACTGTTGTATTACTTCTCTAAAAAATAAAATGTTCATGAAACTATATTCCAAATTACAAACATTTATTTTTTTAAAATAAGGTCTACGTACATATTTTTTTATTCTTATTTAAAAGTTTTTTCATTATCACTCAAATAATACATATTTTTTTATTCCAATTCTCAGTAAAATTTCATTACAAAGAATTAAAAAAGTATAAGTATAAACTTAAAAAAATTATTTTTAGTAAAAAAATTTTGTAGTAAAAAGACTAATAATGTTACACGATTAACAATTGAAAATATGTACACAAAATCGCAACAAAATTTTTTTTTTAGAAAAAGATACAAAAAGCGCAAGTGTACACGTTTGTATGTGCGCTCCTAAAAAAAAAATAACTGTATATTTTAAATCTATTCCAAACTGACTTTCCGAATCATAGTAATAATAATTTGAAAAAGAAAATATAAAATACTTAAATTGCACCATTTATAAAAAAAAGAATACGTTTCATTGAAACAATGATGTTCTATAGTTACCTTTAAACAATAAAATTCGTGGTCCTACTTTTTCTTCTTAAACATAATAATCAGTTTTTATTTCTTTTAGCTAATGAAATCAAAATGGTTATATTTTCTAATTAAATAAAAATTAAATGTAAATGCCAACATCTTTATACTTATTCCAAACTATTAAAGTAATAATATATAACCCAAGTATATATATTTATATTAAAAAATAATGATAACTCATACATGTGTAATCTTTTAATTCAAATAGATAATATGTATTCACTATTCTAAAAAATTATATGAACATGAGAATACTCAATTGAAATATAACCATTTTTTAATCAAAAAGAACTTGACGCCACTGGTAAAATATAATAATAATTTGATTCAATGGCGCGTTTACCTACATTTTATTACATTTGCCGACAGTTCCTTTCTGCATAATAATTACTCCCTATAGCTCGATTGCCTATATGCATTATTGCACACAAATATATAGAATTAAGAAAAAAAGCACGTATGCACACATGACATTATTGCGCATAAACTACATTATTGTACGCATACTACGATTAATTACAAATCGATTACTTACAAACATTTTTGTGTACTTATAAATAAAAATTTCACAGATGAATTAATCACACGTACTTCCACATCGCATTATTGCCTAGCACTTTTGTGTGGGGACGTTACGACCGCTTTTAACGCCCAACGCTGGAATTTGCGTTTTCGTACCATCACAAGGATTGCTAAGTCTCTGAAGCACTATCCTCCTCAACGATAATAAACTTATTTATAAATTTCGGCAAAAGTTTTCCGGGAAAGAAGACTCTTTTTGCCTAGAAATTAATTGCCTACAGCACCATTTGCTTATATTATATTTTTCAACAGTTGGTTTGTGCACAGAAATTATTGTCCACATCGTTATTGCCTACACGCACTATTGCACACAAACATAAAATTAAGAGGAAAAGGCATGTGCACACGTGACACTATTGCGCACAAACTAAATTGCACACATAATATTATTCACTACAGATCGATTACTTAAAAGCACTTTTATGCAGAAATAAGAATTTTAGAAACAAACTTGTCACATTTGCTTGCACATCATTGCCTATAATACGATGTGTAAGCATTTTTGTGTACAAATATAAAATTAAGAAGTAAAGGATTGTGTGCACATAATACAATACAATATGTGTGTATTGTTACTTATAGACTGATTGCGTACAAATAGGTTAACTATATAAGAAAATAATTTGTGTTACGTTTTTGTGTTACGTAAAACAGTATTACGTTTTTAAAGCAGAGGATGGAGCAATTGAATACATGAGACAATAATTTTTATTTGATAACAAACTGTCGGCAAATGTAATATAAACAGTACTGTAGTAATCAATTTGTTGGCAAATAGAGTCCTGTCTCTTCATAGCACGTCATTCTATATATATATATCAAAAGGTTTTTACACAGAACTTTATAATAATATTATAGCGATAGAATAATCAAGACAAAAACAAATACTAACGCTCTAATATCACTTGTTTTAATATAGTTCTTATTTGTCGATTTATAATAGTACATACATAAGTGATAGTTATACATAAAAGATAATAGTCAGTACGTCAAATCTTAAAATAATACTGTGTTCTGAAGACGCAGCCGGATAAATTAGCGTTAAGAAATCCTTTATCACGATTATTCTATACATTTAGAGTACATTTCGTTTTTACGCTCACACGCTGTAAAAACTAATACAAAACATACCTTTAAAATAATACACACGCGATATATAATATCATTCAAAAGCAAGTCTTATCGCGCGCTCAATGACGGCACTTTCATATGCACAGTGAGGCCAATCGCCAATTGTACTTGATTATCTATTCTGTTGCCATTTCGCGGTTAGTTCTCTACTTCGGTATCACTTGTGTGACTCTAAAAAACAAATAATTTTCTATATTAAATGTATTGTGGTACATTACAGTAATTTATTATAATCTAATCATGAATATATAACAAAAAAATCCAAATACAAATGTGAATCTGCTTATGAATTAAAACGTTATATCATGAATGACCTCACTTTGCATGTGCACAAGAAGTCTATGCACGTTTATGTGTGTAGCCCTTATCACACATTAAACATTCATTTTTATCACTTTGTACAAAACTGTGTTTGTCTTTGTCACCTTTTCTAAAAAAGGCTTCGGCGCAAACCTAAAATACAGCACATTTATGACTACAGAAATGTAAAAACGTAAACAAATCAAATGAGAAATAATTATAAAAAATACTAACAATAATTTGGTAATACTTCGCAAACATATGGTTTCTCGCCTGTAAGTACTTTTATATGCTGTTTTAAGATCATAGGATAGACAAATGTAGATGGACATTGGTCCATCACATTTATACTGTCTTTTACGGGGATGATACGTTTCTACATGATAACGCGAATTGTGCTGAAAACTACCTCACGCACGATAAACTTGTAATTTTTATGATTGCAATGCTTCTCTTTGTGTCTTTTTAGAATCCCTATTTGATTACGAAATATTGTTATCAATTAATTTAAAAATATACGTCGATATATTAAATAATTCCTCTAATTTTTGTTGTTTATTTAAATACTTACGTAAATGCCTTTTCACAAAACTTGCATTAATAAAGTTTTTTCTCTGCATGAATCATCTCAGACGACGCAAATATGATTCATACTGAATATGAAACATTTTACCACACGTTCCATTCATAGAGTTTAACTTCATTATGTATCTTTTTATTACATTGTTTCAAAACTCTCGAGGAAATAAATTGGTCATTTTTAATATAAAAAAGATTGT